CAAGCTGGCTTCGGCTGAAAAGAATGAATGACATTGCAGCATGAGATAACAACAGCAGCATGTTCTTGGATTTAAAAATATTTAGCTATACTTTGTGTCACTGTAACTGTCGGTGGGATTTGTGAGTTTTTTTAGAACAAATAGAACGACTTAAATTTTCTGAAACATAGTCAACAATTTGAAGACATTGTAATTTGTCCCTTCAGAAACCTAGTCACCAATTTGAAGACATAGTAGTTTGTCTTTTGAAAAGGCTACTGTTGAGTAACAAGAGTGTCTATTTGGAAATGAATAATTGTTGCCCAGGAAGGATGCCAGTCAGACCGCACCCTCACCCATGTTTTATCTCCAACCACCAAGGAAAATGACCTTGTCTTGTGCATAGTTGATTTGTTGATTTGTTGGGAGTCCTAATGGTTTTATTCCCAAACCTTTCCATTATAAGCAGCGTCAGTAGGCCTGCACCATGAAATTGTCAACTATTATTTCCGACATAGCTGTATTAATTTGTAACTGTAGTAGAATCACTTTACGTTTGACTCTCAGTCAAAGCATGGGTTATTTCTTAAAGGTGATTTAGTTATCATTAATGTTTCTCACTAATTTAGTTTTAAATAGGTAAGATAAGTAAGACAAATTAATGTGTCTAACGATGGATGTTTGCTGGGCACTCTGATTTAGTTTCTTTTTAGTCGCACTATTGTCTTGATACTGCTAGTTGCAACATGTTATTTGAAAAAATGCTAACTTACCTATAATTACAATTTAACGTGTCCCACTGAAGCCATGAATTTTTCACTCCTGTATCATCTCTGTTTGCAGTACCATATCCTGGAATCTGATAGCAAGCTACTACAAGGGTCTGCCATACTATAGGGATGGTTTGATGACTGCTGTGGAGCCCTGGTCTGGATACTACGAGGTGGAAACGCCAATCTGGATTTCAGGTTAATATTCATGGTCAATGGAAACCTGAAGATTCCTCAGTATTGGGAAAAGACAGAAGGTTGTTGAAATGCATTTGAACAAATAAAGAAAAGATACTGAGAAAATTGTGGACAGAAAGGGAAATAAATTGGACATCCAGAATGATAATCAGTCAAAAAGAGGTCAGAACTTTTTCTTGGACATCTGTTAAATCACAAAAGGTTTAAATCTCACAGCATTGACATGAAAGTTTAAAGAGAGACTAGTAGAAAATTGTGCTATTATTACTGTCATATGTATAAACTTTTTAGGTGTACATAAAAAAAGATACATTTTCTTCATTCCAAAGAGATTATATCCCTTCTCAGACTGCTCATTTAGCTGGAATATAAATGCAGGCATAGAGGGGCTGCTAAATGTGCAACAAATGTAATGGATTTCCTTTTTTTGTTCTCCAAAATTTCGTTATGCAGCCCACACCACCCAGTTTTCCAGCATTGGTTGGAAGTATCTGAGCCACGGACATGGTGTTGGTCACTTGCCAAAAGGCGGGTCCTATGTCAGCCTGACTGATCCAGCGGTGAAGCAGCTCACTATCGTTATAGAGACCATGGTAAGGCAAGAGCCAGAAAAGGTTATGATTTTCATGTATAAGAATTGTTTTTCAGCTCAAGAACCAATTTTTATTACGAGTGATTTGTTCTTTATCCCTTGAGCATAAAACCATAAAATGCTTTGTTTTTAGCCAGTTGGGAGGGTAATTAATTGTGTTCTACTCATTTCTTGTTGGTTGGAATTATTTATTTTGGGGAAAATTTATGCGTCTGTGATTCTGTATTAGTGTATTTCAGTACTAATTTCAATTTGGTGTGATATTTGTTTCTCCAGACTCATGATCATTCAAAGTGTATCCGTCCTGCCCTGCCCAAATACAGTGTGGCTCCTCAGAATGTGACTATAGTCTTAGCGGGAAATTTTGTAAGTGAACAAACTGACTCTATGTAGATCTGGTGTGTTTATTTTATAGTTTTTGTCTATTTTGATATTGCTATGATAATTTTTTGTTCTTTTGTTACGATTTTATTAGGCAGTTAACTGCATATCTTTCCTTTTGTTGAGAGAAAACTTCTTTTCCCTCTATTTACCGTCTGCATTTCTAAGTTAATGTGCAAGTCAACTGCATCGACCATATAAAAGCAACCAGTGCAGATACCATAAATGAGAGATGTCGTGATGACTGTAATCACATGATTATTTGCTTGTTTGTTTACATAGTAAGGTTATATTTTCATACCTTCAGCTGGTATCAGAAGGCAAACATGATCCAACACCATGTTTAGGTTTTATTGGTGTATTTTAGAAGCTGAAGGAATGTCTTCATTAGCAGTCAAAATGCAAATACGTAACTGAAGTAAAGAGATAGGTCAAGACAATTTTTAATCTGTCTGTTTGAGGGTGAGTTTTTCCTGAAGCTAACCATGTTGTGTTGTAGTTGGCTGTTAATGCTTTACATCCAAACCGACACTATGTAGATAATTTATTTGTGGTCTGCTTTAACTCTGTCTATGATGGCCTACTTCGGCTGTTGGGGAAACGTCTCTTTAGAAAGATGGACATATCCAATAAAATTAAAATATGAAATAAAAATAAACTGCGTTTTATTGATCCCGGTGGGGAAAGTTGAATTATAATGGCAAACATACATACATAAATACATAATTTGAAATACATACTTAAATACACAACATCACACCAATACAAAACAAGGTCACAAACATACCATTGCTGGTCACCACTGTGCAGCATCCTGATTTTGAGCTAGGTTTGTCGTGTCTTGCTCAAGGATACACCCCAGTGACCACCCTTCTGAACCGCATGTCACAGACACTTGCTCGACATTACTTTTGAGTGTGAACTCACTACTCGCTTAGCCACTGGAGCCCCCACTGCCATAACATTTTTTTGTGGGAGGCGAAGAATCTAACTATTCCCCCTCAGTAGCAGATGTTAGGGACTTTGCGATCGAGATCATTAATAAAGGATTTAGAAAAAACTGATATTGTGAGATGAAACGGAGAAATATAATTCTTGGCGCTTATGCTTTCGAAGAACTCATTCTTGGAGCAACAGTCCACTTTTTGATGTCCTTTCATGAAATTCTACCCATCAAAGGCATACAAATCTTACAAATAACATTCACCGCACTTGCAAAGGTAGCATCAATTCCTCAAATGTACACATTATTGCTGGTCGTTGCACTGCAGCTTCCAGCATTTTTCGTCAGTGAGAGTTAAAATTAGTGTCTCTTTGACGAAAATACCCATCTCATAGCCATTGTCACTTGCCATTTCCAAACTTTTACATAATAATATAAGGGAATTCATTCACCAGTCTACCATGACCGTACAAATCTTTTGGTGCAATTTCAGAACAACATCTCACAAATGAATGTATGGTACAGCAAGCTGAAATTTGACGGTTCAAAAAGCATCATGTTTCAGAAGCAGAATCCGCTTAAAGTAAGTATGAACCTTGTTGAATATTGTTGTCCTGAATTATGTTCATGCATTGGTTGAACTTATAACTACCTTGAAAGAAGAAAAGTATTGGCTGAACTTACATTGAGTATTGAGTGAATGGTAACTTGTGTCATCAGTTTGTGGTCAGGCTTCCTGTTTTTTTAGTTTGAGAATAAGATTCAGATACTATGGCTTTTCCTGAAATTCACAGCAACTTTTTTTGGTTCAATGGGTTTTTTTTTTCTTGAAATGTGCATTCCCATTCATGAACAAGATGCCGGCATTAATTTAACATCTTAGACGAGTTGTAAAGTTCCCCTTCTAACTTGTTTCTCTTTTTTTTTTTTGGGGGGGGGGGGGGGGGCAAGAGGAGAAAGATTAAATTGTTGAGATCTAAAACTCTTTGATTGCGATATATCATTTAATAGAGTGACTTTTTAAAGTCAGAATCACCTAAATATAAACTCTAAACTTTATTACAAGATTGTTTTAATTAAGATGGTGTGAGAGGTGTTTTTATTGTTCTTGTAGCCTGTCTGCTTTGGTGCTGTTTGTTAGTGAACCCCATAAACTCATGTAAGTTTGGGAGTTTAAATCTTAGGAAGGATCTGAATTCTTTTGCCCTTCCTTAATTTTAACAATTGATTGCTTTTATTTCACGTGTAATTTATCCTCCCACTCAAAGGTGTACTCAATTTGTTCTTTCCTCATGGAGTATTTTTCTTCTTGGTTCAGTGTTCTGATGTCAGACCAAGCATTTTGCGTTCATAATAACCTTAGTTGTGTCTAGAAAGTTATTTTATTTCTCTTTAAAAATTCCATCACTACCCAGTCCTCTTTCATCCATCTGCGCGATTATCAATTTTGGCTGATGGGGTATATAATATAGCTGTATGAGTCTTCTCCACTTATCTGGGTCATGACTTCTGCTTTTTACAAAGAAGGTCCTCAACCTATATAATTCCATGATCTCACCTGCAATGTGATAGGGCTGGTCTTCCTGGCATTCCTCTTTCCCTTTCATCAGAATAACGAAATCAAAGAAACCGATATTTTCCAGCCTGTTCAGTAATTTCTATCGATTTTTCTTTTTCTATCGATTTTTGTTTTGGATCAGCATTTTTTATATACATTTAAAAGCACATTTCTGTATGGATTTTACTTAAAAAAACGTTAATCAAAGGCATAAAAAATATAAATTTGCAGTTTCCAAGGACACTCAAACTTAAAAAGTCTCCAGACTTTGGTAGCCATTTTCGTGGTTATTTTACATCTGACATCTGGTGGCCCCCACCTTGATCTACAGAAAATATCTGTATGTCTAGTCAAGATAGATGTGTAATGTTTTTCATCAAAATTAAGCAAAAGAATCAGATTTAAGATGATACCAATATCTTCATATGCCCAAATATTGACAAATGCCTGATCCAACTGTGGCTTGACATGTATGTGCATGTGTAAATGCATAAGTATCCGCACATTCATAATATTATTACATTAATGTCAACAGAACATTCAAAGTTAATTTCCGGACTTTATTTTTAGTTCAAAGACGGAAAAGCTCAAGTAAGTCTTGGCCTGGATGAAGTCATCACCTTGACAACCCTGAGCGCCGGTCAGAAGGGCCAGTACTCTGATCCACCAAAACCTATGCCATTCCCTCTGCCATACAAGGATAATTTTGAAAGTGAGTTAGCTTTTGGGTTGTTTTTTTTACACTTTCTGTTTCATCAGTAGATATCTAGAGGGTGGCCCAGTAGACTTTTCACTGTTTTATTAACTGTTGAGCCTTGTTGGCTGAAAATAAGATGCATCTGACTTACATTTCTTTCCATAATCAGTTCAAATTAGAAACAAAATTATTTCGTACATAAAGAAATACATCCTGCACTTGTGTGAAGGTATTTGTAGGCGTAATATTGTAAAGGAAATATTTCTTTCCCTTTTCTAAAAGATCTTAACTATTTTAATGGAAAGTGACATTTGTACCAAATTTTAATTTGTACAGTTTTGTACTCATTTGTCTTTGACATTGGACAGATGGTAGAGTGTTTTCTAGTTGGGATTCTGCATCTTAATCCTAATATGCTATAAGTATAGATCTATATGAGGTATCCACTTGATAGGAAGGGTGATGGTGATTTATCTGTTCTTTTAAATTTGCATAAAAACAAAGGAATTTTGCTGGATTGCATTTATAAAAATTGTTTCTAAACTTGTTATGGTAAAAATAAAAAAAATGATTTCAAAGAGAATTTTTATTTTCCTCACAATAATTGCTCTCAGCGTGACTTTTGATCTACCAGGTTGACCCGCTTCGCCTTTTGCCTTTTGCACTGCGGCCAGTCCATGCATTCCAAATATGTTTGCCAGTGACCCATTAGCGTCAGTAGCATTAATGATAATTCACCCTGACCTTTTTTTACTTTTTGGGCTGGTTCAGATGAATCGAACCACTTACACGTAGGCTTCGGAGCCACCCATGCAAAATTCAAAATTAGTTCCTACCAAACTAAAATAATGTTTAATGTGTCCCACAGCTCATATATGACCTTATGCAGTTGCGAGCGCCGTAAAGCACAAGCACTTACCAAAACAAATAAACAACAAACCTCACACATAGTTCAACCACAATGAGAGCAAGTGGTCTCAGCTTTTGCTCGGAGTAGTTCATTTACAAGTGCCTGATTGCAAAGTGTTTGGAATGTCAAAAATAATTTATGAATGACTAGCTATTGAAGTATTCTATAGAAGGATATACTGAAATGAATGGTTGTGGTGTCGAGATCTTGCCTTAAACGGCTTGCACTTTGACTTCTTGATTTTTTTTTCCTTTTGGAATTCAATTTGTTCTATTTTTGTGCTACTTTCCTTTTTTTGCTTTTCCTTTTGTGCAATTTGTAACATTTATACTTGATTGCAATCCTTGTGAAGATATATTCCTTTAATTCAGTTTTGGTTAACTTCTAAAAATCTTTCTGACAATAGCTGTATGAATTGTCTACTGGGAACTTGATAAATCTAAAGATGGCAATTATTTGTTGGGTATCTGAGATGAACTGAGTTGTGTAAAAATCCAACATTTTTTCCTAATGGGCTTTTTTATACCTCACCTTTCACTATCTAATTATTGTCATAATAGTGAGTTTATTGGGGCAGTGCAGCTGCAAGTGGAATTTCAAAGCCATTGGGAAACGATAAGTGTCATCTTATCTGTTACATACACAAGCACTTTGAACTCTCTCTTTTTTCTTATATTTGAATTAGTGTGTTCCAAACAAAGTCATTGTTTTCAGTTTGCTTATTTTGAGAACTTTTTAATTTTCCGTAAAAAAAAAAAAAAAGTCACTTTTACCATTTCCTTAATTATGGTTCTTTCTCTCGTTCACTTAATGGATTGCTTTTAGGCCCAATGATACCTAATGTCAGTGCCCGAAAAAGTTACATTTATAGGGATGTTTATATATTATTTCTTTTTTGGTAAGAATATAGAGTCTCTCATCCCTTTAAAAAAATTATTTTTTCACTGTGAACCAAAAAATATTGAGAAAAAAACAACAACAAATAAAACAAACTGCTTTTAATGTAAAAGATTATCCACCCTCTGCAATGTTTTTGAGATTGTCCTAAGCGTTTCACCTGCATAAACAGTAGCATCATAGGTTTTAGAAATTTAAATCATTGTAAAGGATATTGACTGTTCAACAAGTGGTGTTACTTAATCTAATGCTCTCGATGGTAGTTTCTCATGGGAAACAAAGTGTAGAACATTGTGAGATTTACTGAACCAGAACATTGTGATACAATACTGAACCATCTTCTTTTCTGACATTCAGTATTGATTCAAGATTAGAACAAAATCTCTTTGTAAATAGATAACACGTTTACCACCTGATTTGAATTTCCTGGCTCTGTTCCAGATCCAGCAATGAAGAATTTGAGAGCCGTATTTACATACAATTCACAAATAGCTGTCCCACTTATTTTATTTTGTTTTTTGTTTCATAATCTGATGTATTGCATGTAACTGATTTGGTTATATTATGAAAAAGTTGGCAAGCCTGAAATAAATATATGGGCTCTTCCACGGTAACTGATGAGACATTTGGACTATACTTTCTTACAATGATAACACTATAATTCATATTCAATTATTTTATTCCAACTTTAAATGATAAGAACATTTAAAAGACATATGTCCCGTCAGTTACTGAAACTAAACACGTCACAGAATTTGCAAAAAGTACTTTTTTTCAAATGACTGTATTTAATATGATACTTAATGTGTCTTTCAAATTTTCTGATCATTTAATGTTGAAATAAATTAATTGATAATGATTTACAGTGTTATCATTGTAAGAAAGTATAGTCCAAATGTCCGGTCATTTACCGTGGAATAGCCCATACGCAGGTTCCGCCCCACCCTTTGTCCCTTAATGCCCTAATTTTCTCCATCAACCTCTCAGGTTACTCATTGTACAAAGAGCCTGCCAATCTTGCCCCTCAAACTGGGACTTACGAAACCTTGATCTCTAATGGCAACCGCTTTGCTAGGCAAATGCAACTTGTTGAGCCTGTCCGCTGGTGCAAAGCAGATGGAATCGATAAGTCTATCAGCGTCATTGGCAATCAGAGCTGGTAAGGAAAGCTTATCAGGACAGCTATAATCTCTCTTCGCACATTTTGTTGTGCATCTGATGCTTTGAAAATTTCGCTTCAATTTGTCAGCACATGAGTTTGTTGGACACCTTTGTTTGATGCTGAACTATAGAAGTACAGAATATGTGTCAACTTGATGAATGATTTAATTTGCTTCCCAGGATTTTGATTCAGAGGAATTTCTTCTGAAAGCTAAAAATACATTTTATTTAGAATATGGTGACCATAAGAGGATATTCTGTTTTCTAAATGTGAATGTGATTCTCTGACTTCACATTAGATTTTGATCTCACTCCTTCTCTGTTCTGTTTAATTCTCTGCTATGGGTTTCATTCAGAGGCCAAGTCCTTGCATACAGAATTCAGTTGTTCTTTCATTTCTGTGATGCACAAGGTGTTTTGGTTTGCCTCACCAGATATATGTATGGGTTTCAGTTTTCCTTCTCTGCGTTTACATTTGCTGCATTCTGCACCAGTTTTTACTTCGATGTATTTGCATTTATTATCAACACCTTGCCTTTTTCTTACTCTCTAACACACAAGCATGTTTACCTGCGCACATACAATTTTGGATAAAATATTCACATTTTGTCAAGTTTGATCCACGAATTTTGCTCCTGTCTTAAAGAAATTGACTGAAAACCCGAGTAATTAGTAAGTAGTCTATAGTGTTCTCATATTGTTTCCTCTAACTTTATGTGAAAAAGATAGGGTGTCAAATTTCTATTAAAATCTAAAAAAAATAGATGGTTTTGGCACAGTGCATCACAACTTATACAAGGAATAAGGGCAATGGAGATTGAACATCAATGTTGTGGTCAGGAAGAGGATGTGGTAATAATCTGTATTATGATGTTATGAGCTCTTGTCGTCAGACGTAGGTGTGGTTGTTGGTACTAAAACATTTGGCGAAGTGGATAGTAAACATGTGAAGAATTTTTTAGGAGCAAAAATGTTGTGGATTAAGCTTCTTTCTGTGTTGTTTATTTTTTCAAGTATAAACCACACCTTTTTATTTGTAACGACTCATGTTTTTTGTGCATTTTTTCCTTATAAATTTCACCAACCAAATCCTTTTTTTTTTTGGTAAGTGTTTTACGGCGCTCGCAACTGCATAAGGTCATATGAGTGCGCGGAACACATAAAACGTTTTCAGTTAGTAGAGGTTTTTCACCCTTGTCCGAGAGGGCTAGGTGTAGATCTTTCCTACTAGGAGATCAGGGGTGTGTCTGAAAGATAGCAGTAAGAAGGAGCCAAGGAGTAGCAGTAGAAAGGCTACAGAAAGTCAGAAGCCCAGAGGAGGGAGAAAAGGAGGTGAAGGGATGGGGGCAGAACATGCAGATGACAAAACATTGCTAGAGAGCAGGAAAGAAGGTGAAAGGAGACAAGTTTAGAGAAGAAAATGTTTCCCTCGCTACCCGGATTCGAACCTGGGACCTTTGAATGAGAGGCAAACACCTTAACCTCTAGGCCAAGAGAGCCCCCAACCAAATCCTTGCTTTTGCAGCCTAAGACAATATGCACCATACCGCATCAGTGCCATCTGGTGCAAAGTCACTGATTCCTTACTAATCCAAAACAAATAAGCTCTATTATGACAACCCTTAGTTTCTTGTTTTGAACTCCTGAGCTGCAGTAGTTGGATTGGCAAGATCGGTTTGGTTCGGTTCGGTCGTTGGGGTGAGCCAGATTTTCCTCCACTGAGGGAAGAAACGTACTATCGTGGCACACACTGAATGAAACCAACGATGACCTTCAAGAACAAACGTGTCTGTTTTCAAGGCTGCAAGTCGGGCGGTTGGTTTTAGGCAGGGGTTTATTTATAGTGTACGCTGACGCCGCCAGAAACCGAACCGATCCTCCAATGGGCACTGCCTATTATATGCAGATCAAAAGGATATCTACAAACTTCCTTATGACGCGGCTCATGTTGAATTAGTTGCATAAAATGGGACACCAAACTCAATAGAAATTAGTGATCCAAGAAATCAACATACACTTTTTATAGATAAGATGGACTGGCTGCGGTTTCCGTAGATTTTTTTTATCGGAGTAAATACTGCTCTAAGCAAGCTGAATTGACGTGCCATATACTAAGAGTTGAAGGGGTTGCACATTGTGGTGATGTATTGTTGTTAAATTGGTGGAAATGGGTCACAGGGATCTAGCCTACCTGTGGACCAAAATTAAGGGTCACCCTTAAATTTGTATTTTGATAAAACAACTGCGTTGTTTTGCTTTTATGTGAAATAAAAAATGGTAAATTCAAATTGCAATGTATACAAGTAAAGAACAATAATTTTTTTTCTAAGACAGGGGTTTGGGTGGGGGGGGGGGGGGGAGGTGGTTAGTGTTTTTCGGCGCTTGCAACTGCATAAGGTCATATGAGCGCGCGGGACACATTAAACATTTTCAGTTGGTAGGAAATTTTGAATTTTGTGCGGGTGGCGGCCGAAGCCTGCTCTTATTGATTTTAGTCCACCAAGAGAGCTTTAATGTGCGCACCCTTCACACGGGACCTCCGAGATTTTTCGCCCTTGTCCGAGAAGGCTACGTGTAGATCTCTCTTACCAGAAGATCAGGGGTGTGGCTGAAAGACAGCTGTGTAAGAAGGAGCTAAGGAGTAGCAGTAGAAAGGCTGCAGAAAGAGTCAGGAGCCCAGAGGAGGGGGCAAAGGAGGTGAGGGGGTGGGGGCAGAACTGAGAAAGTGGAGACGAAAGCAGACGACAGAACATTGCTAGAGAGCAGGAAAGGGTTTGCATCTGGTACACAACATATTATATATCACTCTTAGTTTCACAGTACACATACAGTTGAATGAAGATGTTTAAAAAATGTTCTCAATTGCTAATACAACTAGATTATGTTCCTTACTCATTTTGTGGGCTGTTTTGACATTCTCACCTAGGGTAGAGTTGAGACAGGATTTTATCACTCTGCTCACTCTGTTGACATTATGGTCACCAGAAAGCACATTGTAACTCTGGCAATATTGAAACAAGTAGGAAGAACAAGCTGAACAAAGTGGCCGCCCTCAGCTAATGCTCATCGCAGTAGTGGAAAATGCTATAAATCCAAAGTTCGAAAGGCATTCTCTAAGCTGAAGGTTTGAGAAAATGTCTGAAGAAGAAACAATGGTTGTAGAACTGTCAATGCTTTCTGTGTGTCCCCAGCTTACTTGGAGTTTGTGGAGCCAAATATGCTGACTCCTCAGGTGGGCTCTTTAGAGATAGGGAAATCCCAGAATGTGTCTCATAAGCAGGTTGCTCGCCAGACGGTCCAAGCACCTCCGTTAAAGTGGTGCCCTTTCACTCTGAGTGTCCCATTCGCTCTTGTGGGTGACAATAATTGGTAAGCATTCTTTCCAGATTACTGAATTAACTCAGCTTGTGTTTCATATTGATAGCTGCAGTGATATAGAAGGGTGTGAATTTGGTTACATGTAATCGCATTGGAGTTTGATGTTGAGAATCCAAATGGAGATCTTTCCTGGCACTTGTCTAAATATGAAAAGAATAGGGTCTAAATATGAAAAGAATAGGAAAAGGACTCTTTGCCTCTCCGCACCTCTCTTACTCCCCCCCCCCCCCCCCCCACCATGATGCCACTTATGATTAGAGTAGAGACTTAAAACATTTTATAGTTTTAGAGAAAACACTTGTGCTGGGATAGAAACCACCTACGGTGGGTCGTTGGCGGATGCTCTGGTAGGATTTTCTCTTTCTTTCCTATCAAACATCTATCGCCTTTTTTTTCTTTTTTTGTTACTCTTTTGTAACACCTCTATAATCTTCAACACTAAAATGACCTAATTGTGTTGCAAGTGCTGTTAAACGCTTACTTATACTAAGACATTAACATAAAACTAAAACACAGGCGAGGAAGCAAATGATAAAGTGGGAAAAAATATAATTCAGAAATTATGTTGTTTATTTGCACCTTGCTTTTCAAAGTTAAACTTTAGTCTCACAGAGGGTTGGAGAAAGGGTTTTATAATTTGTAACTAGTTCCATGGTTTTATTTACAAAATGAAATGAGAAATCATATTGAATTTTCAGAGTGACACAGTCTTGTTTGAAATCTGTACTATCTCAGATTCTGATCAAGATTGTTTGATGAAATAGGAAAGGAAACTACAGTACTCAGCAAATATGCTACAGACTATCAGTCTAGACTGAGAAAATCATGAAATTAGTATTCTGATAAATTTACCTCACCGCCTCGCTCATGTTGCATTGCTAAGCCTGATGTTTTAGTTGGGAAAATAAATGCTCTACATACCCTTGAAATTACCTACTTTGTGTCTTGTAGTGTTTTTGTTTTCATGTATGCATGAACATCATATTTCTTTTTGTTTTGAGTGGTTTCAGGGTGCTGCTGGTAGGCTGTATTTCTTTTCTCTCCAGCTATTATTTCCTGCTTGTCTGTCTTGTTCATTGCTCATCCTTATTGAATGATAATTTTTTGTGTCTATGTGCTTCTTCTTACCCAAGCTCGAAATTTTGTCATTGACATCCATAGTTCTGCATCGCCTTGAATTTCTTTGCATTCTGTTGCAAATGAGTTTATTCTCGAGTTTTTGTACAAATTCATTAGCCGTGGAACTTCAGATTATTCCCTTGGAAGTTTTGGGCAATTAATTAATTTTGTCATCTGATGTTTGCCTTGGAAAACTACATTTTTTCTTCAGTAATTGGGCTGATAAAAATACTGTTCTCATCTCTTTTTCCTTCTTCTCCTCCTCCTCTTTTTTCTTCCATCTTCTTTTTCGGGATCTCAAGTACAAATGACAGAAAGCTCTTCAATCCATAGTGCACAAACTTGTATTGGTGTGGCTGTGTTTATGCTTTCCTTGCCTTTCAAGCTGCCTTATATTATTACTATACATTTTTCGAAATTTAATGTATCTACTGTTGGGCACAGATAATACGAACACGGAAAACTCAAAATCATAGATAGCTTGTTACCCTATTTTCTGGATGTGTGGAACACATTTGACAGTCCCCAACGTGTTTGAGTTATCCATGCCTAACTGTATTTCAGAGTTCTACAGTTTTTGGGAAGGATTAGTTTAGAATTTGCTTGGGTGACCATGCAAGTCGCAGATGGAAATTGTGTGAAATGTACAGTGGAAACCTGATATAACAGGGATGGTGGGAGTAGAGAAAATGCCCTGTTATATCCGATCCCTGTTAAATCAGAAATGCAAGGAAAGTGAGCATTTGTGGACTAATCTAGCTGTACTTATTCATGGGTAGTTTCCTTAACCACAAGTACCCACGAACAGGGGTTTTGGCACCGACTTTCTCCATTGCCTCACATCAGAAGAGCTTGGTCCACAGCATCTGCATCGGGTAGTCTCATCTTCTTTCGATCCAGTGCAAACTTTCCTTTTGAGTATGCTGCCACTATCTTCTCTCTATCCTTGATAATGGTGTGAATCGACCCTTGTGGAATGTCGAACTAACGATAAATCTCTGCCAGTGGAGCTTGCTTTTTGTCAACAGCCTGGATTATTTCGTATCTTTTGTCAATTGAAAGACATTTTCTCGTGCTCTTGACATCGTTGGTGACACATTACGCGTGTATGTTGCTAGGTTTCGTGCTAGATCGATGTCTGCAGCACACAGCAGCCCTCTTTCGCTTCACACTCTGCGTGTGCTTGCAGTGGTATGGCTTGCGTGGGCTTGCTCCATCACTGCGTTACTCTCTCTCTCTCTCTCTCTCTCTCTCTCCCTCTCTCTCTCTCTCTCCCTCTCTTACTTTTTACATTGTAACGAGCCTTTTTCCCCTGCTATAACCGGTTGGGCTCCGATGAGGCCCTGTTATTGCCGATAACTTTTAATAGAGACAAAGAGTAGGAAAAAACGGGGTTTTTAAAAATCCCTGTTATTACCGGATCCCTGTTATTACCGGGCCTGTTATATATGGTTTCCACTGTAAATCATTTAGCCTTATTTTTTAAAATATCTCATTAGAAAGAGTACAGCATTTTTCTTTACACATTTATGTTTTGCATTTTTAGAAAACTTTTGTTTACTCAGCACCTGTGTGTGTAGTTGCAGATACATGCAAAAAAGCATGAGTTTAATTCCTGCTTGGCGAATATATTCTGCCCGTCTCTTAAATTATCAAAAATTTGTTAAAAGAGATGAAAAGAACATATTATCTAATCATTGCTAAGTCTTTAAAGTGCGTAATTCCTTCCCATGTAATATTCATCATGTATGATTCAATGAGGAGTTTTCTTCTTTTTTTTTTTCCGTTGAATTACTAAATATTATGCAATCAGTTTTGTTTTCAGTATGGATTAAAATTTAGTTTTATGTGCACACCATTGTATTCTTGTGTTTTTAGGTAGCACACATTCTAAACTTTGTCTGACTGACTTTGTTCCAGGAAAGACATTTATGTGGAAATAGACTTCCAGCTGTCCACTGTCAATGGCTCGAAGGGTGCATTTGTGGCAGCTCGTGTGGATCAGGGAGGATGCGTGGCGTTCCTCGCTCATGGCATTTTCTTCTTTGCCTTTCCTGATAAATTTATCTTGGCCAATGACCTAGGTGAGCCCTATGAGTTTGAACTGTGGGGAAACTGCTGTTGTCTATCAGGTTGTTGTGGCTCTGGTGAATTAAGTTGGCTACAGTTTTTTGTTGACCTGAAGAGGTTAAAAGCCAATGCCTATTGCCAGCTAAATTTTTAAAAAATATTTAATGAGGGTTTTCTGCGTGTCCTTTAACAAAACAGCAAGAGGAATGATGGAGAAGAGATGATAAGTGCCTTTGTTCTTGATTCTTGGGGACCATAGAAGTTTCCAACAAAATAAAGACGTTCTTTGCCTGATGAATGAGATGACCTACTTTTGAATGTATAGATAAAGTGGTATTCTGTTCTGTGTATTTTGCATTGCTCTCAGTGATTCTAAAAATTTCTGCCAATAGGGGACTGGCATCTGGGATGTAGTGATTAAGCACTTTGCTGTTGCATACAGGAGACCCATGTTCGATTCCCAACAGCGGAGAAAATTTTTATCGAGTATCTCAGTCTTTATGCTGGGTTATTGTATCCCTCGCAGCCCAGGTTGGCCTTGACTGGCTAATTAATCTAACTTGTGTCAATGTGGGGCGCATAACTCTAAAACACTTACACTCAAATTTAAATTTAAGATGCCCACCACAGAAAATTTAATTAAAGGGTAGGATGTGATAGCTTCACATGGATGTATAAACCATGCAGAGTTTATGCTTATTGTGTTCAGATTTTGAAAAACGAAGTGTATACAGACCCGGTAACCGGGAACAAAGTCATGAAGTATACAGACCCGGTAGGGGAACTCTTTTGTG